TAATCGATGAATTGTTTCAGCTCTATTCCACAGTAATCATGTTTTAGAGCCTAACTTCCTCCAACCAGAACCTCCTCCCTGAGCCGTCTGCCGGGCCGCAGTCATCTGACCCAATGAGGAAGGTTCTGGAGGTCACCACTACTGAGGAGCAGGGGCCTGCATCACCTCCTTCTTGTCCCTGGACCTGTCGATCTCCTTCTTCAGGACGTCCACCCTCTGGAAGGACTCCAGGCTGTCCACGCTGTAGACCAGAACGAAGCCGTCTGCCACAGAGTAGTAGTGCTTGGGCAGGTCCTGGCTGTCCTGCAGTCCTTTGGTGTCATAAAGCCTCAGCTGCTCCTTCACGCCTCGGTCCGTTTCCACCGAGGCCACGTACACGTCCTCCTGGGTCTCACTGGACTCTGAGCCTGGACGCCAACAGTGGGACACAATCAGTCAGCCCCCCCAGCATGGAGCCCCCCTGATGCCCCCTGGCTGCTCACCTACACAGTGGTTCCCATAGAGCAGCTGCTCCAGGATGGCTGTCTTCCCCACCGCCGCCTGGCCGCACACCACCACCTTACAGCCCTTCCCCATGTCCACCTGCTGCCTCACAGCGGGATCATGGCCGCCGCCTTACCTGTCCTCTGGCAGCAGGTGCGTCAGGTGAGCGACCTGATCAACGTCACAGACCGCCGGGTTCAAATCAAAGAAGGAACCGGAGCAAACCCGGAAACTCTCCGTCAGTGAAGGCAGCAGCTGTTCGCTTCCTGCAGCTGATTGGCTGCTCACCGCGCATGCGCATTCAGGATCACTTTTTATTTTCCCGCTGGTTTATCGCGAGGCTTTCATTCAGTTTGATTAAAGTTCTCTGTAATAACCACAGAAAGAACATCAAAGGAGATCCGCATCGATCGCTTCCACCTATGGCCGCTGACGTGATTTGGTGCCGCCATCTTGGGGAGGTCGACAGCCCCGCTCAGTGTGATGAGTTGAACAGGAACAGAATCAGTTTTAATCATTTTTAACTCGCTGAATATTGAACAAATTTTCACAGTTTTGTTATTTTGCTGAAACAAACAAATGGTTCGGTTTATTTCAATGTTCTTAGTGAGGTTATGAGTAATTTAATATTCTGAGAGGATGGATGCATGTTGCAAAGCATAGCCAGATATATGTATTATTTCATTACTATATACAGAAACCTATTGATACAGGTGTACACAAATCTACCT